TTACACCTGAAGAGCTTCTAACCCTTTTCCTCCCTTTCCACAGTAAGTCTTTACTATTTCATAAAGCTGTTTTTAAAAATGAATTTTCCATGCAGATGATGAGCAGTGGAAGAAAAGACTTAGCAAATGCAAGTCACAGCTTTGGACAGCTGGTGTTACCTGGGATCTTGCTCACAGACCTACCATAAGGCCAAGGCACTCATCCTCAGTGGTTTGAGCCCTATCATGTGTCACAAGACAAGCATTTTCTAATGATGGGTGACATTTTGTGCCCAGAACAGCATCACTGTAGATACCAGACATCTGGCAAATGATTTCACTCTGGAAAGGTGACAGAAACAACCAAAGCTTTAGTCTTTTTCCACCAGAAAAGCAGCATTTACTGCCTCTCACGTCCAGTTCCAAGGAAAAGACCCCGCCTGTGGCTTCAAAGACAACCCACTGATGTGGTTATATAAGAAATTCTCCTGTAGGGTCTTTTTGTATGAGCACATGCCCACATCACACAAGAAAGCATCCCCCACCCTGCAAACACCCTGTGCAGCAAGAGGCTGGGGAGATGGCTGCGCCCTGGGGTCCACATATGGGCCTACTCACTGCACCAAGCTCTTCTTTGCTAGGAAGATGTCTATTTTGGGGTCCCTTAGTGCCCACATCTCAGCTGGCAGGAGCCAGCATAGCTCCACTGTCTTCAGTTACACACAAGTTACAGTGACTTCAGTTTGGGCAAGGCAAGGATCCAGCCCTTCATCTGGAGGTGGTTTTCCTAGACAGCATCTGCTACCAAGGTGACATGCTTCCAGGAATGTTGTTTGCTCCAGCTCCTGTGTCTGAGCACTACAAGTCTCCCACAAATACCTAAAAATACCACCAAGATTTAAATCTCCAGATGCAAACCCAGCTAGTATTGGCCAATACCATTTTGACTTTCACTCCAGTCTGCATGCCCACAAGCTCCTCTACCATCCATTCACAAGGAGCAAGTTAATTAACATAACATCACTCAGAGCTAGCTCGTTCCTGCCTATCAGTATCATCTAATCAGTGTCCTCAACTGAAAAGTAATCTCTGACTTGATCTTTCCTTGGCCACCAAGCAGCACCTGAACAGAGGGGGCTTTGTTTTGAGTCACTAGAGACACAAAGGTCAGCCCCCAAGCTTTTCCTGGCATTGCCCTTGCCTTGGAGAGCAAGGTAGAGCCTGTTTTCATGTCATACCTTGTTCTTTTCTTCCTGGCCTTGACAAGATGATTTGTCCTAGAGTCTCTCCCTAGGCTGAGATCAGGCTCAGACATGGAGCACAACATGGCAAAACAGCACCATGAAGGTCCATCCCAGGGGGGCCAGTCCTGAACATAGCAAACCCTCCACCTACCCAGGGACATCCAACAACCCACCTGGCCTAACAAGAAGTCATCTGCCATCCAGTGGCTCCATCACCTGCAGAAGATAAGGCCCAGCCAGTTTTGCTTTGGCAGGATCTATCCACACCCTGAAATAAGGCACAGCAGAATATGAAATGCAGATGACAGGAGGACCCACATCTGCTATTGCATTGCACAACCGCAAGCTGGACTTGTGTTCAGGTTGTGTGGAGCATGCAGGCTTGAAGAAGGAGGACATGTTTAAGACCATGAATTCTGCTGATTTTACTAGGCAAAGATCTTCCCCCTTCCATAACACTGATCTTTCTCCAGAATTATGTATAATAATTTTATACACATAGACACACATACTTTGAGATACTGTTATTACAGCATGTCATTATGTTTCTGCAAGATTTTAAAAGTATGCAACCAGTCTGTATGGCATGAACTTTTATGGGGGTTATATTTTGGGGGAAGCAATTTGGTAAGTGTAAATTGATAGTTAGGATGATGGAAAGCCAGACTGATGTAGGTGAACATTTTTCAAACAGGAGATAGCTGTGGGTGGAGAAGATAAACCTTTTCTCTTTAGAAGATTCAGAAAAAAATCTTTAAACATGATGTTTTAAGAAGCATCTCAGTGAGAGAGGTATTTTTAAGGCAATTTTAATAACCATTAATGAAAACAGCCATTTTTCTATTGCAAGCCTGGGTGGTGTTAACCCAACTATTACCTACAGCTGGATCCTACACCTCAGATTCTTGCTGGCTTCATGGGTCACAGCAGCTCCTCCACACCACACACCTTCCACCTCCCCCAGATCTGCCCCCTTCCCACAAGCAAAGCACATCTCCACCTCCAGCTCACAGTGACTATCAGCCTCACCCCAGCCCAGATCACCTCTGCTCCATTAGCACCAGCCAGCATTTCTCCAAGACCACCAAGTCCAGCAATAGAGAAATCTCAAGCCATAATTTCCCCAACCTATCCATGCCAGGATAGGTCCAACCTTTTCCCCTGCTGCTGTGGAGCCCTCCTGTGCCGAAATCCCAAACAAAAGATAGGATTTTGCCTTTCCATGTCATCCACCCAGGAGCTGGGTTTGGAGACAATCAGCTAAAAAATTATGCTCAACAAACATTAAAAAAATACAAGCACTTTTAACAGGTATCAACCCTTGTGCTTTGCAAGAGTAAAATACACACAAACACCACAGTCCCTACAAAGACATTTCCAAACATATAATTCTCTCTTAGAAAGAGCAAGGGCTTCAGAAACACAGCAGAACTTGTACACAAGCACCTACCCTGCTGTCCTTCACAAGATCATCTCAAATCAGGCCAGGCAGCTTCCTAGGGCACATCTTCCCACCTCCTCCCAAATCCAGGTAACCTGTGAATCCTGCTTTTATAGGGTTTTCCCCTCCCTTCTGCAATACCTTCACCTGGTGACTCACTAATTACATCCCAGATGAGCAAGCAGGCACAGCTGAGATATTTCTGCTGGAAGAGAAGCCCTTGCAGCTCAATACAGCTTGTTTAATTCTCCATGGAAAGCCTTCCCCTATATGTTAGACCTTTCTCCAGCCTTTTTTTCCTAGGCTTTTTCAGCTCTTGTTTGGGGTAACAGAGGCCAGATAATGGCACAGAGATGTTTTGAACCCAAAATGTTATTGTTGAGAGAAAATAGACCCTGTGCAGTGATTAAAAATAAGTCTTCATTTTGAGGAGCAAGGGGAAACACTCAGCTGCAGGATGACTGACCAAGAACACCATCCTGAGCAGTCTGGGTCAGACAGTCTGCCCAGCACCCCATCCCAAGACACGACTGTGTGACTGGAACAAACTGGATGCTGCTGGGCTGGGGTGGCTTCAAACCCTTCTTTCTCCAAGTCAACGGGACACCTCATGCAAGAAGAGACAAGACTTTTTTTTTTTAAGAGTATTTTTGTCTTTTTAATTTCATCTTGGTACGTGATTTCTGACAGTGTGTCAGCATCTCCTGCCGGGTCAGCCATCTCCAGACCCCGCTACATTCAGTGTCAGATCGTAGGGTGGCGATGAGCCAGTGTTTTGAGCCTCACAGTCACTTGCATGTCGTTACGGGTTGTCGCTTACATCGTTTGTGAACAGCAGCACAAAAGGACACAACGCATGAAAATGAGAGTGGGGATGAGATGAGGGTCAGCTGAAGGCTCGACCCTAAGGAGAACTTTCCCCAGGTTCCCACAGCTCCTGCAGGGATGAACCCGAGCATGGGGTGGGAAGTGCAGGGCTCTCCCTCCTTTCTCCTTCGCCTGAGGGGTGCTGATATGGGCTGTGGTGTTTCCAGAGCCAGGACAGCCACTCACACTGGTCTAGCACCCATATTTGAGGGTCCAGGATGGGGTTGTTGGCAGAGGCAGGCTGGGTCCTGCCACAGGAGGAAGAGAGGAGCAGAGCTGAGCCCCGATGGGCCAGGATGTTGACCAGCTTCAGCAGCATCATCCACCTCACACCAATCTCCTGGACACATCCAGCAGTGGGGACAAGACCTGGCCACTATGCTGTCCCCATCAATCTGCTGGTGGAGGAGCAGGTCCCTGGAGCCAGCCCTGCTTTGAGTTTCAACTGCACCTCAAAACCAGTGGGGCAACCTGAGAGCACCAAAAATAACCAACCCCGAAACCCAAACCTATCGCCTGAAATGAACTGATGTTCCTTCCCTGCCGCTGGGCTTTTGCAACCTAAACATAATGTTTATAAAAAGTAAATTATTTCATCTTATAACTTAAGTGCATTGAGTATTTCCTTAAATATGGTTCACGCTGAAAATAAAGTTACTTTTGCTGTACAGTAAATTTCTGATAGACTTAGAAATAAACTTTGTTGATACAATCTGGCAGGTGTGGCTGTGCAGTGCATCAACCCCCCCAGCCACACAGCTCTGCACACACACACACACACACACGCGTGCCCACACACACACATACACACACACAGCCCCATCCTTGGGGACAGGGATGATGTTAGGGGTTTTTAGCTTTCTATATTCGCATGGGAACATCTATCTTAAAAAAGTCCCTGTGTTTAAACAGCGAGCGCTCAAGCTGGCTGAGGGAACAAAGGGAAAACCCCCCTGCAGCAAAATTTTCCCTGTGTTTCCCCAAAGCACTGTCAGCTTTTCAAATTTCAAAGCCCAGGTGATGCTCTGGGCTCCCCTTGTGAAGATCAGCAGTTCGCTCTTTCCACTGCTCTGACCAAAGGTGGTGCAGAGGGGACACGGTACCGGGATGCTCCCCTGGGAAGGGTTTCCCTCTCCCCCTGCTTTTCCCCCTGCCAAAACAAGAAATTTGGTTCCCTGTTTGAAATTTGAAAACCTACCAGCCAGCTGCAAAAACTACTCCTGTCCCTAATCCTAGGCTCCTAAGAGAAACATGAAACTATGCAACCCATAACTTAACTCACTCCTTGGGAATCCCAAGCTACAACATAATTGTTTGACAGCATCCCAGCGGTGTCGCTTCCCCTCCCTCCCAACCCTTGGCAGCCCCTCCTGAGGCAGCGCGGTGGCATCGGTTGCCCCGTGCCAGGGACCACGCCATGCTCAGGA